CAGCTATGTTCTGTAGTTTAAGGGGAACTTGCGGTCTGTCGGGTTTCGGGTTTGAAAGGGTTCAGCTAGGGTCTGGAAAGCTGAGGATTTAGGCTAGCTTCTAGGATTGACTGTTGAAGAAACATCAACAGGAATCTGTGTTTGGTTCAGAGTTTTCTGATTCTGAGTTGAAGGTTTAGCCTTTTGTGTTTAAAGGTTGGCAGCTGCTGTCTTGCGGGAACTTGTTGAGGCTTCCTACACAACAAACCTCACAGATAGTACGAGCCCATGCGTGTCCCTTCATTTCAGTCGAGTTTCCTATGTCGGGGTCTACATTATTTATGCAGGAACCCCGAACAATTGACCTGCACTTCCTCATGTATTCTTGATGCTGCACCCTCAAACACTGAACAACCCTGCCCTAAACCCAAACCGCACTCAACCCCAAAACGCAACCCAAGAGGTCCAAGTATGACCCTAGTACGCCCTTATTATATAGATCTTTAAGCCCCCAAAGTATATGCGGTACTGTTACTTGGGCCTTTGGGCAAGACCTGAAGTTCCCAACTTCCCAGTCGGGAAGCAACGTGAAGGAGCTCATGGGTTTCTCTCAGCTTATCCTAGTATAAGGGCCTTAAAGAATACCTGGACTATTTCCGTGGCTCCTTTTGATAATAATAGTATAATGGGCCGCAAAACCTTATTCCAATTTGTAAAAGCCCCTATTTTAGTTCTTTGCTGTTGAAGCTTCCAGAAAGGGTGCCTATAAGCCTACAAGGTGCTATCATAGGGGACCCCTAACCAGGCTCCTAAACCGAAAAAAGCCTAGCCCCAAACCCTAAACCCTGTATAGGGTTCTCTAGAGTCCCCATAGAAAGGGAACTTTCAGGCCAAAAACAAGACCTCAATTTTGATTCACAGGGGCTGCTTGTGTTTTGTTGGAAAAGAGAGCTTTTATGTAGAAACCTAAATAATTACCGCGGGAGTGAGCTATGAGGGAGCCCAAACCCTATTCTAATTATCAAGGCCCCTTATATTAGACAGTGATTGGACTTGGGAGTTTCGCTCTTGTGGTTCGGGCTGGAGGCTTGGCAGACTCAGCCGAGAATGTATAGTTTGCTGTTTACAAAAAACACGCACAAAGCAGGCGTACATGCCAAGTTACTGGCGGACTAGGCAGACTAGAAAGACTAGCCAGACAGACTAGACAGAGACAGCAAGACAGACAGACAGACAGGCAGAGAGGACAATCATACAGGTGGTGCGAAGGCCATGAGCACAAGCTCTCCACAGAAAAACATTCAGAACCACACGCACAAGAATAATGAAAGAGCCATCCTTCTGTACGCTTGCATCAACAAAACTGTTCCCTACACACTCCACATATTACGTTTTTCAGATTTGTATATGCAGGTGTGCTCAGAAGCCTTGGTGCGTAGATATACATATGCCTACCTGCCTTACCTACCTACGCATCCACCGACCGACCTACCTACCTACCTACCTACCTACCTACCTACCTACCTACCTACCTACCGACCTACCTACCTACCTACCGACCGACCGACCTACCTGCCTGCCTGCCTGCCTACCTACCCACCCTGCCTTCGCTTACTTTCCCTTACCTTTCCTTTTCTACTGGCCTGCCACCCAGGTAGGCACAGGCGTGTAATGTTAATTCTTTCCCGCCCATCGAAAACCCCAGCATTTGCGCGAGGGCTGTTCTGTCCTTCGTGTGGAGCTGGATGGATCCTATAAAAGCAGCCCCGGTGCAGAGCTGCTTAGCTTGGAGTCTAGTGTCTAGTGTTTTTGCTTAGGGCAAAGTGCAAGGGATCATCCCCTCCAGAAAGTATCAATATCCACTGGTCTCACCGTCTAATCCTACCTGTCTCGGCCAGTGGTTCGAAGCTGTGTTCCTTGTTTCGTGTTGATGTCAATATCTGTGAGTGGTCTCTTTGATCTGTTCTCCATCTTTCCTTAGCTTTAGCTTTATCCTGTCGGGCTTCGGTTCTTTCGGTCTCTAGTAGTTCAGTTGTAGAGCTTGAGTGAAGCTTTCTGTGCCTACACTGGTAACCTTAGGCCATTCAAGCTTGTATATGAAGGGTTGAGGATGCATTGTAAGACACTGGGCTGGAGCTTTTGGCCATGTAATCAAGATTTTCGACCGAGAAGCCCGCTTACGGCACATAACCCTAAACCCTCGGCCCTGATCTGATCTACATGCCCCTCCCTCATTTGTAGCCCGCTTGGTAGGTCTCCTGAGGGCTTTTCGGAACTCCGGCCCGCCTTACCTATAGTTCTTTTCTGGGGTTACCCTAGAGGATCCTAAATATATAAGTGGCTGAGCCACAAAAAGGAACTGCAATGGAGAGTATAGGCACTTCCGGATGCCTAGCACGACGTTTGGAATAGTCAACGGGTAAACAATATGTTGCAAGAAATGCCGGGGTTAGGTGTTTATTGGGTCTAGGCTTCAAGTGCCGGATTTTAGGTTGAGGGCTTGAGCTGTGGGATTTCGAGTTCAGGGGGCATCCGTTCGAGAATCTCCTTTGCCTGGATTAACCTCGAAGACAAGAATGCCAAGGACAGAACTGGGTCGGAGACCGCCTATAAGATGTAGCAGGAAGACTGACAGAACCCGCCAAGCACAAACCCTGAAACCAAGAAATGACAAACTTGGAGGACCATAGCAGATATCCTGACCCTAGACCTCACAGCACCGAAGTCAGTGAGGCTGGATCCCAAAATGCTTGGCGAATTCCAAGCTGCAAACGAAGACTGTCTGCCTTGGCAACAAATACATGTTAGGCCCTAACCCTATCAATCCTAAACCCTAAACCTTAAACACTAGACCCGATCAACCCTAAACCCTAAACCCCAACAGGAAACTTTGAACCTCGAAGCTGCCAACAATACCCTGGCAAGGTATACGCTTCCTTCCGGGTCCTCAGCGGCTGAGGCGGTCATTGAGATGGTAAGGGTCCTGCAGACAGGCGGCCGCTTGGCACGCTGAAGGCTTCAACTGGCCCGTCTAAGATTAACACGAAGTAAGAAGAAGATTTGTCATGATGATGGCCATTGCAGGCATTAGCCTGTGAAGAGCTACCTGTTGTAGGTGCTATCGGTGCTTGGCTGCTTAGCGACTAGCAACCTACCGTCCTACCCTGAGAAAGCTTGGAAACCCTAAGCCCCAATCTCTTTGAGACTGAGGCAAGTCTTCCGCCTCTGTGCATGCACGGATCGGCAGCAATGTCTCTCTGTGGCTGGTCTTTCTCAAGGCAGCTGCTGTTGGGTTTAGTTGTTTGGGTTTTGTTCTCACGGTGCTTCGTAGGGTTTGCCGGCTTGGGGTCAAGGAAGCTGTGTTGGAGGTGCCAGATACCTGGGTCCTCCGCGCAAGGGATACTGTAGTGAGAGAGGGGCCGGCAGCTCCCTCGAAGTCCTGATATCAGAATGCAAGCCTACTGCAGGTTGAACCCTCGATCCGTCTGCAGTCTTTCGGTGGGTTCAACTCCGACAAGCCATGCCAGATGTTGTTGCAGCCTTACCTGCCTTACCTCATCGAAACCAACATGGAAGCACTTCTATTCTAGCCTCCTTTTAGAAGAACGTTCGTCCATCATGGAGCCCTTTTCAGGCTCCCTGTTCGTTACAAAGGAAGTCAGCGAACCTTCACAAACATACGGGACACGAAACATCGACCCTAGACGAACCCTTCTTCATGTTGTTTGCCCAGCCTGAGTTCAGAAGTATAAGCTGGCTTGCAGGACGTGCAGTGGAAGTGCATTTCTGTTGCTGCAGCTCCACCAGGGGAGATGACGTTGCCGAGCCCTGCCGTTGTTTTACGGGATTCTTATTTTTCCGAAAGCTTAAATCCTGACCTGAAACCCTGAACGCTAAAGCACTTGTGGCCCCATAGAGAAGCCGTATATCGTTAAAGCACAACAACCTAAAGGCGCGCCAGAGCTATGCGTCCCCTTCTTAGGGGTCCCTGTCATGTCTTTACGTTCATAATCTGTAGACTCAACGAAGGTTTCCTGTCCCACCAAACCTGGGGTATGTGCACGCGTGTCTGTCTGTGCGCGCGTGCGTGTTTGGTTGTGCTTGCGGGGGTTCAAGAGTCTGGCTTGTCTAAGTCTATGCTT